GTGTACACATAATCTACGTTTATCAATGTCTGAGTTTGACATTTTATGACAAACATTTTGTGTAAATGGGGTCTCTCGGGGACGTTACTTCTTTAAATCTGTATAAGAAAGTCTGTACACATCAAGCGTTTGTAATATGTGAAATATATTTATAATGCTGAACTTTGTAAATAACCAAAGGGAATTCATGTACTAATGACGTACTGTGCATACTAGATCTACATCATACAGCAGTGTTGTCTTGGGCCGGTGGCCTTATACGGAAATAAATCAGCCCGTCTGCAGCCTTTTAGAGTGAAGGGATAGCATCAGTCAGCAATCTTGAAGCTGGCCTTCGTCAGCATCAGAATATATAGCGTGATGGTGGGGATCGGCATACATGATCATACATGGTTGCGTCAGTGTATCCCTGTACCCGACCAGCGTGGCTCGACGCTCACTCCTACAGCTCTGTCGGCCCTAACCCGCTCCATGGATATCTGATTCCGTCATACAATCCATCAACCAAAGGTCGGGTTCTATTTGAGTGAGTCTTGTTTTACGCCGCAGTAGCAATATACCGGCTGTGTAACGATGGTCTACGAATACTCGAGTCAGGGCCAGGGAAACAAGTGACTGGAACCACGGGCAACGCCACACGCCGTCAGGGTACGATGACACGCAATTAGCCAGGCCGACCACATGGCTTGACCATCTGATCCCCATGTCAGTCGGCCTTTACAAACACAAGTTTCTTAAACCACTTCGGACCCGAAATGCCCTCAGCGGTTATTATGTAAAATGTTGACTTCAATGGACTTCAAAATTTACAACAAACTATTTCTGTCCATTTCACTCCTCATTCTGATGCTGACGAAGGCCAGCTTCAAGATTGCTGACTGATGCTATCCCTTCACTCTAAAAGGCTGCAGACGGGCTGATTTATTTCCGTATAAGGCCACCGGCCCAAGACAACACTGCTGTATTATGAAGATCTAGTATGCACAGTACGTCATTAGTACATGAATTCCCTTTGGTTATTTACAAAGATCAGCATTATGAATATATTTCACATATTACGAACGCTTGATGTGTACAGACTTTCTTATACAGATTTAAAGAAGTAACGTCCCCGAGAGACCCCATTTACACAAAATGTTTGTCATAAAATGTCAAACTCAGACATTGATAAACGTAGATTATGTGTACACATGCATATAAAACAACCCGAATTAAAAGACATGATAAACATGAGTACGTTCAAATGCCACGTAGTAATCGAATTCGTGACAGGCTGTAGTCTAGGGATTTCATTGCTGCCAAGGTAAACGATTACATTTTTTCAAAGACTGTTGTTATTTGAAGCCAGCTAACCGCCAAAAGAAGCCATTTATATTTGAAGGGCACGTTGTTGTTGGGGTTGGAGGACACGGGTGCCGGGCCCAGTGATCTGAGAGCATCGCCAGTATCACAGCGACATCACATATGCTGAGGTCTCTATACTATCGGGGCGGTCGGGTAGCCTAGTGGTTAAAGCGTTCGCTCGTCACGCCGAAGACCCGGGTTCGATTCCCGACATTGGTACAATGTGTGAAGCCCATTTCTGGTATCCCCCGCCGAGATATTGCTGGAATATTGCTAAAAGCGGCGTAAAATCAAACTCACTCACTCACTCTATACTGTCGCTGCTCAAAGCTCCCCACTGTGATAGGTGGCTACGACCATGCTTGGAGTGATGATTGGCGTTTCATTATTTTCTTGTTCGTCAATTTGAATTTCTGTTTCATTACAACTTATCATGTAACTGATACAATAAGAATCTAAGGGGGTGATTTTCCGTTCGTCTGTAATCTCGAGCCAATCTGATCAAACAAACTATGGGAAATTTGGTCAGTAGTAAACCTTTTCAAAATGCACTATGATTGCATTCCCAAAGACATAATCAAAAGTATAAACGTTACTATATTTGGGGTAAGAGGGCAAAATTCTTGTAATGGCCGCGCCCGCACTGGCGGCAGCGATGTTACCGAGAGTGTAACGAAGGTGTCACGTGCTGGGAAGGAGCTTGCGCCAGGCTCTCCTTATTGCGGGTTTGGGTCCAGACACGGGCCATCTGCAACACACACATCCATGCTACGAGGATTCTCGGATGGGGTAGGTCCCAAGTAACCCATACTCCGTTAGAGTCGAGTATAGTGGATTGGGTGGCCAGGGCCTATGGTCTGACTGACTGTGCGTGGATATTTGCTCATGCCATCAGCCACTGGTTTGTCTCATCCACTTGGTGGTAACAAATCGAGTATTATATTCCTTATTCGAATATGGGTGATCAAGTACCTGTTGAATCTATTGCCTCTTTGGGGACAATCCTACGTGGGTGTTTCTACTCCTTCTCCATCGAGAAACGCGGAGACCAAGCTGTTTATTAGGGTCAGCATTTACCATAACCATCATGCATGAATACATTGACTGCTGACTAAAACCTCCCTAATCTCATTACCTGATCAGACGAAAGTGCCCCTATCTATTAAGCTATCCGAATAACGTCAGTTCCAGCATCGGTACAAATGACTGAACAGTGTTATGTCTCCATAACTGGTCGATTGCTATATCTTGCTAAATGGCTGTCCCTGATCTGGCAATATGAACCCCTGTCCTGCTGGGTCGGTGAAAGCATTCTTGCATTAGCGAAGAATTGATGTTTCAGATAATGAAATTTGGTCACATAAAATAGCTGTGTATGTGGTGTCATTGGTGGTACTTGGTGCAACATTTGTCTGCTGGCAAGTCGTTAGTGTGGCAGTGCTGTTGGAATCAACAGTAATGAAATGGTCTGCTCGTAGCAATTATTCTCAAAGAACGTTATTAATGCTCCCAGGCTGTGTGAACGGTCTGCAAGATACATTCAACACCGGATAACACGAAGTGATAGCAATACTTCGGCTAGAGCGATCCCAGAGCACTTCCCGGCAGTGGTGCTTGTTGGGTGGCAGTCGTCTAAGGGACCGTAATTTTCTGTGTCGAGTTGCGTCCCTTTGGTGTACCAGAAACCTATGATCGCGGATTCGCAACCCAGATTCCTTCTTATAATGTCTTGTGGTTTATCAGAAGCATACCCATGCTCATAGGTTTGACAAAATGTGAGACGTCTCAGACCTGCATCACTTAGGCTTTCCTTCCACATCAAGCTGACATTTCTTGATATAACAGAAACACTGTTCAAAGCGGCATTGAACGTAATATTATATAAGACGTCAACGTCAGAGAATAACTAGATTCGCCAAAACGGATTCCATTGGGCGTAAAAGGCAAAATTGCAATAAAAATTATATGACTGGGTCACTGAAAATGTGATGACACCAGGTGATCGCGAAAAGGGGAAACATGTCCTGCTCTACCCGCCACTTATACAATTTAAGTAAAAAAGTAACTGTTTGTTGCCTAACGCCGCACAGCAGTACTCCTGCCATGCGACAGGGGCCTTTAAACAAACCAGACAATCAAGTGACGGACCAGAAGAGCCAGTGACACGATAGCGCATTTATCTCACTCACTCCAAGTAGTGGTAACACATAATGATTGTTCATGCGGATTAAGAACTAAATGTTTGAGAATCATTAGATTTCGTATTATCCGGTGTTGGCTGTCCAGGTTTCGAAACATTTTTACGCCGCTGTCAATATTTAGCCCACAACATGGCGGGGGACACCAAGATTCGGTTGCACAAGTTATTATTTGTTTGATGTATAACGCTGCACTCAGCAATATTACAGCTACATGACGGCATGACATCATGAGCATCGATCGACGCAATCGGGATACGATGACATGCATCAACCAAAGCAGCGAGTCTGACCACCCGATCCCGTTAGTCGCCTCTTGCGACAAGCATAGTCGCCTTTTACGGCAAGCCTGGGTTGCTAAAGACCAATTCTACCCCGGGTCCTTAAGGGTCGAAGCCTGGTCTTATGGCTGTCGAGCGAACCCTATCATGCGTAGATACGGCCTTCTTGAAAGGAACGGGTGTGTTTTGTGCATATCAATATGCAAGTGTTGAATGCAATTAAACCGCATAGCAATATGCATGTTTTTTGTGGGGTTTTTAAAAAATAATTTGTTATACGTTTGACTAAGTGTGTGGAAAAGGGGGATATTCGCTGCATCCGATGTCTCGTACATTATGGCTTTTCTCGCAATATGTTTCCGAATAATGGCGGTTTATATTAAGTATTAACGGCATTGGTATAAAGTGAGACCACAGGGACAAAACGAGGCAACTCTATCGCCTTTGTCCACGAGGCTATCCGCGTATCCCTGCTGCAGTCTGTCACACAGACCCTGAAACAAATAAATCCAACACAGCCTATGCAAGTCGATAATGTTTCATTGAAAGTTTGGCAATTCTAGATTGCAGTATCTGAAAATGAAGAAAGTTTCTGGGTTCCTTGTTAATTAAATTTTATAACTAGAATTTAACAACTGTTTTTTTTCTGTAAAATATGTTCATTTCAGGGACTAGATGTTAGTCTATCCCTGCTGTTCAAGAAAGCCTTTTCCATATACAGTATCACTGCCAATGCCATTTCTGTATAACCAGTGTTAAGTATTGAATTTAATAGCAGCAAACGCAAAGTAAAATCTCTTTACTCGGGGATTAATCAATTCCTAATCTCCATTAAAAAACATTCAACGATTATTCAACCCTGGACAAGGTTAAAGTCAGATTGAAACTGTCCAAAACTGACGGAAAACACTGCTCACGCACGCAAGCATATAACATTATTATTCACAGTGTATTCAAATCACCATGGTGAAATATGCCCTACAAAAATCAAACATACATGATTAATTTTATTTGGTTAATAAATGAGCATTGAAATTCTGTCCTAGTCAACAAGTCACACCCCTTTATAGCGCTGAAGTCCTTCAGTGGCGTGGAATCACCAACCTCCTTATAGCGGCTATTATCATCATGGCTTCATTAACACGCCGAACAAAGACATGGGATGCAGGTAATGCTGGGAGTCTCTCCATGCTGTGAAGTCGCAATGTACCAGGTGTGTTCCTGCCGACACAATCTAAACACCACCTTTATACCAGCCGTGTTGTCGGACTCCACATAGCTAATAATTGGCCTTCACGGGACCACTCAAACTGGACTATTTACATTCGCAGCATAATTGAAGGCGTGCGAGCTGCCCCAGGCCACACAGGGCTGTGACGGACAACGACAGGAGATCTGAGGACATGGATATATCGTCTTTGTAAACACGTGGATTATAGGAAGTCTGGATTATCGGTGACCAGTGAGGCTAGCTTATCGGAGGCTGGTGATCCTTATTGGGTTGATTGACACCTTGACCCGTCCGTGTCCAGGATCGAGTGAAGGGTTTATCAGCATGTTCGATCAACACTGAGGGGAAGGTGTATCGCGGAGACTGAAATAGTTAAGGGATCCACCCACACAGGTATACTTGAGAGTGTGTGTGACATTGTATTGTGAGTTACCTCGCCGCTGGACGCTGTAAAGAGACTCCGGTAACAGTGACTCACATCTCACCTGGCTTTGTACTCATTCACCCCTGTCTGCGCGTTACGGACAGCTGATACCAATAACCTACTTCAGCACGTTGTTTAAACCACCTATGGAATACATCTGTTGAGATTGTCACCTCCCTTTCATTTTTATCTCAACCAGGATGACCCGGAAGTTAATACCTGACGGCAGACGACAATCGCTGCTCAAGCAGACGACACATTGATGGATACTGTGTTGAACGCGTAGTGTGAGACGGATAAGGCGTACTTCGATAGGCGGTAAGTGATTTAACAAATTACAACTTTTATTGATATTGACAGTGGTGATAACCTACAGATATATGTGGGAGATTGAGATTGGCATTTCCCTTCAACCCCTGACAACGTGAACGCGGCATCATGCTAACTGGCTCGTACACTGAGATACTATAATGCGCCATTAAGCTTGACTTGCCCCGATCAATGGCACCTCTCAGGTATGGCTATCATTGAAAGCCTGGTTAAATACAGCGTGTATCGCACGTTTTGTGATTGTCGATTTTATCAATATTCGCACTACTCTGTAAAATGGCTCAAGGAATTCCCTTACAGCCTCGGGCAAATTTAGCCATTTGTGATTTTCTAAATAGACATACACAATGGTTGTCATGCATAGATGCAAACAACAGAGACATCGATATCTGAAAAATTAGTTCCACAAGCTCTTAATAAGAGCAGAAAGTTTTCAAAAGACGGAAAATTTCATGCATGATGATACCACATGGCTGATGAAGGCCATTGTCATCTAAGTAATTAGCATCCGTCTTTCATGTGCATGCAGACGTTTTGTTAGACCAGCTAGAATCATCTATCAGCGACATAAACAGCAAATAGTGCCAAAATGTCGGTTTAACCCTTCTAACCAAATACAAGGACACTCAAATACTGTTAGCTAATCAAGCTGATTTCACCATTACGAGTTCAGTCAGGGCGAGGGTGTAGGCTGGCGCTCAAAGCGTTCATTTATAGGCGGTCGAAAACCCAGGTTCGATTCTTAACATGTGCACCAATTGTAAGCCGATCCTTAGTGCTGCAGTATTCTGAGATTTTCGTTTACCAGAGGTTCGACCTTGTGAAAAACTGCCAAAACTATAAGAAAGATAGAGAGACAGGCATATGAATACATGTAGATGGATGTTATATAAGATAGGAATTTGGACTGGTGCCTCGATAGGTAAACGTATCTGTCCGAAAAAGGTATATAATACGTACCACGTCAAACTTTTATCAATCTGTCCCGCCAACCATTATGTGGTTTAGTTCATATCACATCAATCAAATCTGTCCCATCAACCATCCTGTGTTTTCGCACATACCACGGTAAACATAAACAATCTGTCCTTACTGTCGTCAAACGTTATAGCGCATAGATTCTTTTCATACCACGTCAAACCATACCACAAATCTCTATGTGTTTATAGTGCACCAATCTCTAAATAAACAAATCTGTCTCACCAATGTCTATGTGTTTATAGTGCATACCACGTGAAACAAGTCTGTTTCGCCAATCTCTATGTGAGACTGGCCGCTGGAGTCAGGTACCAAGAGAACAAAACGTCTATGTTCACTCTGTAACTCCCCAGCGGGCGCGGGTGGCCCAGTCGTCTAAGGCGCCGCGATTCGCTGTGCAGAGTTGCGTCCCTTGGGCATACCAGAAACCTATGATTGTGGGTTCGAATGCCGGTTCGCCCCGATTACGTTTCTACGTTTGTCAGCACCATACCCGTGCTCGTGGGTCTCACCGAAGTGGTAAACGTCTGACACCTGCACCATTTTCCTCCCACATTAAGCTGACACGCTGCGATATAACTGGAATACTGTTAAAAGCGGCGTTAAACCCAGCTCACTCACTCACTCGCTGTAACTCCCCAGCAATAGCAGATGAATTCCATTATACATTTCGATGTTAAGCTTTTGATAACAAAAGACTTTCACTTATTCCTGAAAGATATTTAACTTGGTTAAATGTGTTTTTATTAAAAAGCCTATTTTCAACAACCAAATTAAACGAACTAAAACGTCTATCAAAATATGTATGATTTGTATTTACCACTTTGAATGCTAAATCTAAATGCACACAGCCTTCTTGGTGTACATATTATATGGATCTCTGTACTTTATGTAAGCTCTTGTACCACCGTCGGTGGTCTATGGAGAAATAACGAATCTGAATCTATAGCGTATACCACGTCAGACAAATGTCTCACCAATCATCACGTGATCGATGTGAATACTTCTGGTACAAGTTAATAGGTTACCGATGGACCTTGTACCAGAAATATTGGTCGGGGGGGGGGGGGGGGGGGGGGGGGGGGAGCTATATTGATTTCGTGTTCCGGACCCACTGCATCATGTGTTCAGGAAGGTAATTGACCTGTACGTCTGTTGCGCAGTGTCAGCACTTTATCAACCGCTCTTAAATGTTAACTTGCCACGATGCGTATGTAGCAGATGCTGAGTTGTACCTGGTAGCAACCGGGACACCAGGTGCTCCATCTCACTACGTCACGTGAATATACCTCGTAGTGAACCATTCAATATTATCAAATACTGCTGCAGGCTTAACATGTTAAGAAACAAAGCAGATTTCGCTTTGGGTACTAAAGTTCATCAAAGCTGTCCTGTGTCCATATTGATGGCGCTTCCTACTTCGTGTCGGGGGGCAATAACGTAGCTCGGCCTCTCAGCAAAACCTGACACACTATATTTTATGTTGGCTATTTAGAATGTTTGCATCTATAGGCAGCTTTATTACAGCCCAGAGATTGATGGCTGGTTATGTAGTCTAAAAATACACTTATCTCGTATTAGGTATGTCAAACAGCACTGTTCTTACGACATGAACATTTTAATTACGACAAACCACGCGTTTTATTCCTCGTATTACAAAGTTTAAATAACCCGATGTGTCACTTGGACTGACTCACGTACATCGTTGGTGGTTTATGAAGAATTAATAGATTCAGATTTGATGTGCCATCAGATTGTGGGGTAATCTTGTAGGATGTGGTCGTAGTTAACATACCGTTCATACCGTCAGGTCGTGGGGGTAGATGGGGGCACATGCTTTGATGTCAATAATTACTGTTATTCCAGCGATGGCGAATGTTTAGCTCAGAGCTCCATTCAAGCTTAGCATTACCAGAGAGTGAGCCGTCTACGGTATTCCAGCTACATCTCAGTAAATACCTGAGCCCGTGTCAGAAAACCCAGTGGTTGATTGCATGAGCACCCATACACGTCGTCGTGAAACCAAGACAAACATCAGACCAAGACACTGTCTGATTCAGATTTGTGTGGGGATGCAGGGTTGTCTGTCATACAGACCCTGAAACAAATGTATCCAATACAGCCCGTGCAAGTCTATAATATTAAGCAAGTCTAGATTACTGCAGTATCAGGAAAATGAAGATAGTCTCTGGGCTATCTTTATTATATTTCATAACTATAATTTAACAACATTTTTATCCATAAAATAAGTTCATTTCAGAGACTAGATGTTAGTCTAGGGTGCAGGGGACCGACCCTTAGTGTCAGCCTGTGACTGTCCCTCCATACCGCCTCTGTCCAGTACAAGGGGGGTAAAGGAGCGGCGGGGTAGCCTAGTGGTTAAAGCGTTCGCTCGTCACGCCGGAGACCCGGGTTGATTTCCCACAAGTGTACAATATGTAATTAAAGCTTATTAGAGATATTGATGGAATATCGCTAAAAGCGGCGTAAAACCACACTCACTAATTCACTTAAAGAGGGTAGGAAATATACTAAACTAACGAATACAAAACAGAAGTAAAACTGTTTTATTAGAACTAAATAATATTTTACGTAACCTTTTTTCAAGATATTGTCAAACATATTGCTCCTAAATGAGGTCAAGCATAATTTTTGTAACGGGGACGATGTATTAGGAAGTCCGTTAATTCGATCTTTATTTAAACAGCTGTGCGAGATATATCCGTAGACGGGAATGGACGATAAATAATAATGTATATTGATTTTAATATAGCGAATCTAGTTTAACATGAAACGATATGAGCTAGCCTATGTTATAGAGATATGTAGATATACTTGATGGCTGATGGCGTCTATCTTGGAATATATATAATTGGAGTATTTCTTTGTATGTTTTCAAAATACGTAAACTAAAATATCCACCGAAGATGATCCAATATCAATAAGACCTACAACTGCCACTAATAATGAAAATGTTGATAAAATACATAGGATGATGGACGACTCACCACACGTCACATTGGCAATACAGCTGGCATCTCTCGTGAATTTGTGGAGAACATTCTGAACACTGATCTGGGCATGACAAAGGTTTCAGCACGCTGGGTTCCAAGGCTTCTGGGGCGGTCGGGTAGCCTAGTGGTTAAAGCGTTCGCTCGTCACGCCGAAGACCCCGGTTCGATTCCCGACATGGGTACAATGTGTGAAGCCCATTTCTGATGTCCCCCGCCGTGATATTGCTGGAATATTGCTAAAAGCGGCGTAAAACCATACTCACTCACTCACTCACTCACTCACTCACTCCAAGGCTTCTGTCTCCTGACGCTTCAGGTTCATCACATCTTAACGTCGTTTTGAAGCAGACCCTGCTGATTTTGTTGAGATATTTGTAACCATGGACGGGTCTTGGTATCACCACTATCAGCCCGATTCTAAACAGTCAAAGCAGTGGACACTTCTATCGTCCCCTCTTCCGAAAAAGTCAAAGCTTGTTCCGTCTTCGGTCTCACCATTTAATGGCCAATATTATGCTAATCTGCTTAGGGAACTGCGTGAGAATATCAAGGCTAAGCGTCGTGAAAAGCTAAAGGAGTTTTGTTCCAGGACAACGTGCATAAGTCTGTTGTCGCCTTGACTGCAATGCATTTTTGTGATTTGTAGTACTCAGTTCACCGTCAGATTTCCACCTCTTCCTAAAAGAAGCAAGAACAGTCTGGCAAGCATTATGTAAATGATGATGACGTCATTTCTTCTGTGAGGTGAGGTGAAATTGGCTTTAACGTCGCGTCCAAGATTATTGCACTTATATAGCGACGTGCATGCGTGTGTGTGTGTGTGGCTGCTTGTACTAGTCCGGACTGATGTCGATTGATAGTGCTAGCTCCCTGAGATACCATGCCGCAGTTTAATATGAATACCCCACTCAGACATAGTATATTGACTCCGAGCCGACCAGTCATTGTTTTAACCCCTTAATGCCGAGCGCCCGACAGGGTAACAACAAGTACCAT